TCTACAAAATTATCTCAGTTATTATTAAAAAACTGATTATTTTTGAAAACTTTGCCACCCTGTATCTCAAAAGTTAAGGCGTTTAGGACATACGTCCATAGGACGTTTTTTCCTTAAAATAGGTCTAAGAATTACCTCCTTAAATATTAGCATGTGTTTAAGGAACACCCTGTAGACTTTTATGGGATTTTTGTTTTGGTAAAAGTGAATTTATGACATTTGTCTATATTCAATTACAATAAGTTTATATCACACCAGCATACAAAGTTAGTTAAATCATATTGATTCAGTATCAGATGATTCGTGAATAACTTTGAACATCTTCAGATCATAAGCACACAGAAAAAAATTCTATAGAGAATAACATCATTCAAGTCATTTACAAATAGAGATCCCTATGGTACACCAGGTGAAACTGTAATTCAGGATAGATATTTTACATAATGGACTCTGCAGACAAGATAATTTTCAATCCATTTCAGAATGTTTTTCTGAATCATGTGAATGGATTTGGCCAGGGTAAAAATGCATTTTTTAATTAATAATAGCGGGATTCCATCGGGATCTGCAGACAACTTCCAGGGTAATGACATGACCAGTTCAATAATTTCTGTAACATCAACGCTATAACTACATATATTAACTGTGTTATTGAATTTATATTCTGGGATTTGGTCAACTGTTTCATCACTGAAGACAAATGAGAAATAGTGTGCAAAAAGATTTACAATATCATTGCTATTTTCGCTGACAGACTCATCATAATACATTTTGGATGGTAGGGAGTGTGTTTTTTTTTGTTACTAATATAATTTCAGAAACTCCATTCTCTATTTTATTTATATATGCTTGGTGGCAAGTGTTTCTCAATGCTTCGTATTTATCTCTCAGGTAACAAAACTCTTCACATTTATAAAAATTTTCAATTTGTATTCTGTGTGAAATGATTTTTTCCTGAAAAATAATTTTTTCAACTGAGAAATGAACCATACTAGAAAAGTTGGGGTTTATTTTTTTAAGGGAACATAGTAGTCCATAGCAGAATAGAGAACATTGTAAGAATTTGTAATTGTAATATTTATGAAGTCATAGAAGTATACATCATATTGTAGATATTACCTTGTATCATTTTTTGAATCAAAACAAACTGATGAGTAATGTAATGTATGACAAAATGGTTAAGGCTTTCGCGGCTTTCAAACCCTTATCCTCTTTTTTTATCACGATTTGTTTGGCCTCTATCAAATCTATATATGTTGAAATTTTTTAAGCCTAATTCACTATCCAAAAAGTCTTTATCAAGCCATGTTTCTACTGAAATGAGCCTTTTTCCTGAGAATAGTACAGCGAACGTGTAACGAGAGGCAGCACTAATAGTAGGGACAAACATAAACTATTCACATGTAAAACAGTATTATTTACATAATATTGATTTATTATTTAAAAATATAAATCTGATATTATTTTGTGCTAGTATAATGCCAACAAAACATTACTGTTTTGCGAATTGTACGTCGGATAATCGATATCCGGAAGAAAACGTGTTTTTATACCATTTATAAAACCTCATATTAATGAGGTTAGATGTAAAAAATGGATACATGCTTCGAAAAGAGTGGATTTAACAGTGCAAAAAATTATTAAATATTCATATGATTGCTCTAAACATGAAATAGAAAAATGAATAGTAATTTTTTCATAGTTAATTACCATTGATTAAAATGAGATATAACCTCAATCGTTCATTAAATTATATTCATTATATTACATTAAATTTATTTCATTACCATCTTTATTTGATTCATATTTCACTCGAAAATAAGTCTGAATTTCATAATTAAAATTTCTTTTACTACAGTTTGAATCTACCGCTACTCTTTTACTAGAGTCTGTATATTAACCTGTCTATTAATTCACTTTTTTCCAGAATTACGGCATGCAAGCCAACGTTTTAATGTTACAACAATGTTATCCTTTACAGTTGCAAATTTTAGTTTAGGTCCAGGAACATTTTCTTCTGTTAAAAACATTCTTTTTCAATTGGACTTTTCCATATGTTTATATGAGGATTAATTAGGCAGTGTTTGTCCCTACCGAACTACTAGCGCTGCTAGTGAGAGATTTTTCGTACTTCAGGAAAAAGGTTCATTGTAATATCATAGTTTTAACACATAACAGATGAACAGTGGTTCTTGTTGAATTTGAGATTTCAGTTCCTCAACTTTAGGTAGCAACCCATCAATCTTCTTGAGAAATAAGTACTAGTCTCCCCCTTATGAGGCAATATTTACAATGAAACTTCAACTGCCGTTTTACTTTTGATGTCATTATCTTCAATTCAGATGCATTTAGATCTGAACATTCTGCTTGCATATTGCATTCACAGTCATCACAACTCAGGAGTAAGTCGTTTCCGGTAATTCTACATTTTAAACACTTCATGGTGGAATATGTAGCTATAGATATTTCCGGAGTCCTGATCTGACGTTCACGTTTTTTAAAGAAGTGGATGAATTGCTGTTCACTTCAAATTATCAACTTTGATTAATCAATTCAATTGATCATTTGCACATGGATAGATTCCCACAATTTTCACGAATATTTTGTTATAAAATTCGCGTTTGAAAGGTGTATTCAAACCTCTTAAAATTCGATCTATTCGGAGATAGTACACACGTGTGACTTTAAATACTGAGATATTTTCTAATGAGGCTTCATCAACATGCATTTAAGAAAGAAATTTTAATTCATAAATACCATCTCCTGGATGAGGTAGTATATAACATATATAAAAATTTTTACCTGTAACCTCCAACCAAATTTTGACACCCTTCTTGGCATTTTAAATCATCTGCACACTCGTCAATATCTAAACAATAAGTTCCAGTGGAATCTAGTTTGAAACGTCTTGGACATATGCATTTAAAACTGCCCAAAGTATTTACACATCTTCCTGGTTTAGGGCAGAAGCCAGCTTCTTCACACTCGTTAATATCTGAAACGGAGAAAATTATTTGATTATGATTATTATTAAATGGAATGTTACTAACTAATTTAATATGTATACAAAAAAATAATAACTTTTCTTCACCATAATAAAACAAAATTAATATTTTTGTTAAGTGATGTATTCATTATAGTTGGAACTAGAAGAAAATGCGACTGAGGAAAGATTTTCTATGCATATATTTCATTATGAGATTTTCACTAAATAATTTACAAAACCGCAACACGTGTTTCACAATGCAATAACTTCAGGCGTGTTGATTATTAAACATGCGTCTGAAAAAACTAGTGTATGGTGAAGCATCTGTGGCGGTTTTGTAAATAGTTTATTGAAAATCTTAAAATTCCATCACATATATTCTCTGCCTTTCAGAATAGATCTGGACCCTCCTTCGGAATGATCGAAAGCAAATAAATATTCCATAAATATTTCAAAATGGAATCTCGAAACATTCATCTCTTCCAACGTACCTACAAAGTACTCGATTGACTTCAACGCGGCTCGACTGTATGTATGAAATCTTCGTCTAAGAGAAAATTTGTTGACTACGAAAAATTCATTAGGAGAGATTCATGTTTCAAGATTCAATTTGGGAATATTCATTTTATTCTCTGCCCCCTTTCTTGGATCCATACGGAAAACACTTAAAAATTGCACACAATCGGATAAACATCAATTCAAGATCTTTCAATCTCAAACTGACATTTGTTAAATTATGTGCAATATTTAGGTGTTGTCTGAAAGAATGTTTTATTGAAAAATCTTATAATTCAGTTTTTGGCAAAGATGAGTTGGATAAATCCCTATCAGAATTTTATTCAAATGCAGTCACATTTTCTGGTAATTTCAGCTTCTGATTTCAATAAAATATCTACAGTGAGTTTCAAATAGTTTGCACCACATGGGAAACTATTTTATTATCCATTTCTCAGAAAATTTTATTTCTGATAAAAATTGGTGCATTGCGGGAAACTTGGATTTGAGTTGTCAAAATTCTAAATTTCCGAACAGTGTACAGGGGAGAACAGAAAATAGAAATTTTGATCAAGAATAAACTACCCTCATTATTGACATTATCAAAAAAGTTTATTTGGAAAAGTTGTTTGAATTTGAAAACAATATTCGGATATGAAATCACAACAACTATCGAAATATGACAGAACACAAATTAACTTAAGATAGTTTGCATGTTATGATAAGAGATGACAGCAGGTGTATTAAATTCAACAATTATGATAAAACATAAGGACAGTTCAACATCTTCTTCTAATTTTCGAATCTAATACCTAACACTAAACAAAAAAAATATTTTACTCAAGTTAAATATCAAACATTTTTATACAGTAGTCTGTTACTGAATTTACCGAATTTAGTTTTAATGATGATTTATTCATTTAAGTAGGGCAATCCTAATTTATAAAAAATAAAATAGTTAACATACGTATTTTACAGTTAAAGTTAAATACAGCATAGAAAAATGTTGGAATATTTTTTTATTATAATACAAAACTTTTACATTATATGAGGTACTCTGCCTGTTTACATATAAATGATTCTGGCCTCTAGTATTGTATGTGTGGATTTGGTTTACAGTTATGATAAACTTAACCATGTATGTTAGAGTCAGTTCATGTATCATTTTATAGATATAGATCATAGTTAAGTAAGTCAGTCTTCGCTCCACAGTAAATAACAGTAAAGTTTCCAGCATCAATTATATAGGAGTTGATCTACTACGTCGCAATAATATTCTCATTGCTCAATTTTGTAGCTTTTGTAATTGGGATATTTTTTTCAGATCAAAGCAGTATAGTAATGAAGGGCAATATTCAAAATGAGGTTGAATGATAGTCTTATACACAGTTATTCTGGAATTCAGACTCAAGTTTTGGGACACTCTAGAAAAGAAATACCGTTTTTTTCAATATTTTTTTTATATATTCAAAGTGGCTACTAAATAATAAATGATTATCCAACATAAATCCCAGATATTTAAATTCCTTTACAATTTCAATTTTTTCATTGTTTATTTCTATGTTAATGTTACTACTATTTATTTGTTTATATTTATAAGGTGTAGTAATTATCATTGCCTTACTTTTACTTACATTCAACTTCAATTTATTCATTTTCAAATATTTATCCATATTTTTCAGTACATCATTTATTTTGATCATTGCTCTATCGATATTCCCATCACTTACTGATATCAGAGTATCATCTGCGAATATATGAATATAGTCACATTCAACTTATTTTTCCATATCATTAATATACATTAAAAACAATAGAGGGCCCAAAATACTACCCTAAGGAACTCCATGAATTACTTTAATAGCTGATGACATTACATCACTTTTTGTTGTCTGTTTTCTATTAGTAAGGTATCCTCTAATCCAATTGAATACTTTACCCTCTATACCATATTTATTTAGTTTTTTTTAATAATATCTCTCTATTTACTGTTTCAAACGCCCGTTTTAGATCCAGTGATATTGCTATAGTGTACAGATGATTACTCACTTTTTCCTTCCATTTAGTGACAGTGAGTTATATAGCTGATTCACATGAGTGCTTTGATTCAAAAAGCCAGACTGATTAATGAATAGCAAATTATTTGAGTTAATATATTCTAATACCTGTTGATAAACTACTGACTCTAATAGCTGACTCTGAATAGCTTCAAATGACAAATAATTGATTGGTCTAAACTTACCACCTTTACTAATATTTGCAACCTTTTCGATAGGTGTAACAATGCTGGTTTTCAATTCTTCGGAAAATGTGCCACTTTCCAATGATACATTCACAAAGTGGCACCACACATGCCTAATAACATCAAAGCTATTTTTCACAACTTTACTGTTTAGTTCATAAATTTGACTTCCTTTATTTTCTAGATTTTTCATAATTATACCCAACTCATGTATAGATACTAATTTTACAAGAAATAAATATTACAAGAAAACTCAATATCTTCAATACTAGACACCATATCATCAATACTATTGACAAAGAACTCATTAAAATGCCCAGTAATCTCTCCTTTATCTCTTACACAAAAAATCTGACAATTTTTTCGAATGCACACCATTGCAGAAATCATTATTAATTTGTTTAGGGTTTATTAATTTTTTTAGAGTTTTCCACACTGAACGTGGATTATGCATATTTCTGTCAATTTGGTTATAATAATAACAACAATTTTTTTTCTTTTATCAAATTAACAACAGCGTTAGGTTTTTGTTTATAATTTTTCCAGTTGGTTGTATTAGAGATACTTCTGAAGATTTTATATGCAGGATCTCTTTCTCTGCTTAATTTTTTTATATTATCGTCATACCAAGGTATGTCGTTTACGCCATATGTTATTGTTTTCACGGGTGCGATCTTTTTAACAATTTTGCCTAAAATATCCTTAATATTGTTGTCAATGTCGTTAACATCTATACTATTCAGTAGGAATTGACTATAAATTATGGAATGCAGATTTTCATCGGTTAACTTTCTAATCATTTTAGTGCACCTCCCTGCTGTAATAGGTCTCACATTTTGAAAACATTTAAGTTATTATGGAGTGATCAGTGATCTTGGGCTCATCCAATACTTTAACTTCCAAATTATCCTGATTTATCAATACATAGTCTATCAAACTTTTACTGGTGTTAGTTATTCTAGTATATGTTTCCACATTTTGATGTATACCATAAGCATTAAAAAGATCTTTAATTTTTTCAACATAAAATTCATTACACAAGAAGTCTAAATTAAAATCACCAGCTAAAATCACTCGAGGAATTCTGCAAAATATTTCTTCACATATTATCTCCATTTGATCGAGAAAATCTGCATGACTTCCACTGGGTGAATGATATAAACTTCCTATTATCCATTTCGTGTTGCCGCTGGTTACAGATATTAATTTACACCAATAATTTCCATTTTGCACATAGGTTTTACCGTTTGTAAATTTAATATCTTTTCTAATATAAATAATCACACCTCCTGTGTGTCTTGAGTTGGAGTCACATCTTATAGTTGAATAGCCTGTTATTTCAAGTTCATGGTTATTTATTTCGCTTGTGGTTCGGGCTTCACTTAGTAAAATAATAGCAGGATGGTAGCAAACAGCTATCAATTGAGTTTTATGAGCTAACAAACTTTCTATGTTCGAATAAACAATATCTAAATTGAATTCAATTATAGTTTTAGAATTATCACCTTCGTCAATGATGTTATTCAGCTTTAATTTTAATTTTTTTTTAGTACTCTCGTTGAGCAGTCGTTTGATATGCAATTATTCTGATAGAAGGAATATTATCATTGATTTTATTATGGTTTCTTAGTATATTTACTGCTGCGTCATTAGATTCCAAAATAACCTTTATGGGACGTGTTTTTCTTCCATCATATTTTCCTATTCTAATTACTTTAAACTCATTAAGAGCAATGTCTGCATGCTCCAAAACTTCTCTCACCATTTTTTTTTTTCATTTTCTATTCTATCATTACTATTTACAGCATTCGATTCATTAATATTTAAAATCATTATGTTGTTTGATCTCTTTTTTCTTTCCTCTATTTCATTCATGAATCCTCCATTTCAAAGTTGGTTTCACTACTCTCAATTTTCATTAAGTTTTCTTTTAGGAATTTATTTTCATTTTTTAGAGCTTTAACTTCTTCTTTCAATTCTTTAACATCATTTCTGATATCCTCCATTTGTCTTATTAGTAGTGGAACTTTCTTAAATGCCATACGACATTCATTACAAAAGTATATTATGATCTGTTTTGCAATATGCCAAATTAGTACAGTTTTCATTAGCATGTGAAATAGTATGGCAACTATCACATTTTACCAATTAATCCTTATCACTCACATTATTGCAACTTCCACATTTTTCTCCAATTTTTGTATTTAATCCAGAACGCCTTCGTATCCTCTTAATGTGATTCTCAAACTTACCCCTATCCTCTTAATAGTGA